AGATTCATTGTCTAATGCCTTTGGATGAAAGCTCTATTTATGGCGGTAGAGTAGATTAAGGAACATTTCTGGCTGATCATTTTACCACTGGTACCTATTTGCCTTGCAAATAGTAGGTACTCAGTAAATATTTATTGAATCACTATGATCAGAACTTTAATTATTCTAGATTGTGTGAAGTGTGATGACAGAAGTTTAGAAAGTAAAATTTTAATGGCATATTATTGTTGTAGTTGGAGAGGCTATTATTTCCTGGTTCTCTAGAGCTGCACTGTGAATACTGTAGCTGCTACCTACATATGACTTTATTTTCCTTCGCGTTTTTAAAAATTATTATTTTTATTTTAAATATGGTGGTTTTTAGTATAAGTCGCAAGGTGCAACTATTACCACTAATTCCAGAATATTTCATCACCCTGAAAAATTCTCCCTCCTCCTGCCTTTCCTGACAACCAATAATTTACTTTCTATATCTATGGATTTGCCTGTCACATATGGCTTTTGAACACTTGAAATGTGGGCAGTCCAGATTGAAAATGAGCTATAATTGTAAGTTATACACAGGATTTTGAAGACTTAATATTTTTAAAAATCTCAGAAATTCTTATTTTGATTACTTGTGAAAATGATAGTAATTTATATATATTGAGATTAATATGTTAAGATTAATATGTTAAGATTAACATATTAATTCTTGTTCCCTTGTACTCTTTAATATGATTACTACAAAACTTTAAAGTACATTTGTGGTTTACATTATATTTCTATTAGACAACACTGGTCTAGAACTTATTTTCAGTAAGAACCATAAATGTGTCCCTACCTATGCCTTCAGTTTCCCACTGTCCTTTTAGTCTCTCAGTTTTCATGTCAACCCTGCTTTGGGAATGTGACATGCCCCAAGCTCTTCTAAAGCACATACTAATTTTATTTATTGATTTGAGAGAGAAACATCTATTTGTTGTTCCATTTATTTATGCAGTTTATGCATTCGTCGGTTGCTTCTTGTATGTACTCTGACCAGGGATCAAAGCCACAACCTTAGCACAGTGGGATGACACTCTAACCAACTGAACTATACAGCCAGGGCTTCTAAGCACATTTTAATTTAAGGGCTTAAAAGGTGGAAATCTTTCTTATTTCTTTGGCCTTGGAGTAGCAGGAGAAAGATAAGTCATTTATATTAAATTGTGGCAACTGTTAAACCTTTTAAGCCTCATTTTCAGCAAATTTGGAAGCATTGAAGTTCACATTTATTTGCATGATTGTGATGAGCAGTGACCCTAAATATTGGCAGTTGTGATTTGACTAGGGAGCAAATCGTTTCTTTACAGCATATGAAACATCTATAACTTTAGGTGTCATTTAGAATTATATTTGTCTTACCTGAAATTTGGATTTGAATTTTATTTTAGTATAAATTTCTGTTATAAGTAGAAGTCAGACTAATGTGATAAATTAACCTTTAAAAAATAATACTTGCTTTAGGTGGGAGTTTTCTGCTATAACATTATTATTGAAAGTCAACATGTTACACTGTAAAGTGGCTACTAAACATTCTGTGTTTAACACATTTACTGTGTGGCACTCGTTCTATATAATGTGTTAATTCATTAAATTCCCTCATGAAACTGTGTATGTGGTAGGTACTGTTTTAACCCCCAGTTGACAGAGGATGAAACTAAGGTGGTATGTACAGAATGATTAAGTAACTGGCTCGAGGTCATATGTTAAGTTTTAAACAAGTTAAACAAAAAATACTTTATACTTATTGCTTATATGATAAAGTCTTTTAATTTTCAGTTTATCCCACTAGAATGTAAGCTCCTCGTGGGCAGGAACTTAATTTTGTTCTCTAACACTTGGAGTTGCTTTCTGGTATGTAGTAGATCACAGGAAGTACTTGAAAGATTTTTGTGATGGTGATATCAATTCATCAAGAGACTTGGCCTTGGAAATCTATTAAAATTGCTTAAGTTCTACACTGTTGTTTATTAGCAATAATGGTCATTTATTTTTATCACATCCAAATTAGCTTCAATATTGTGTGCTATTTTGCATATTTTATATATGTTATATCTTAAAACAGTTTACGTGATTAAAAATGTTTACTGAGGAGCTGTAGTTTCTATTCATGTCTTTTCCTTTTATGTGTTAGAAATGCATTGGAGCCCCAAGGGAACATAATAAAAATCAGGACTACCAGAGGTCCCACTGTATGTTGAGCTGAGTTGGAAAAGTGTAGAAAAGCAGTTTTGCAGCTCTTGTCACAAAAAAATGTAGTGCAGTGAAACCACAGTTCTTCAAAGTTTCATCCAAAAGAATTTGTTAACCTCCCTGGTTGTTAACAGTCATTAAGATAAATAATTAACACATCGTTTTTGTTATTTATTTTTAGAAATTACATTTCTATTATTAGACTGAAACAGAACTGTGAATACATTTTATAAAATAAGGCAAAACCAAACATTTTTTTGTAATTAATGTTAGGTGAACAACATCTCCTACCTTTATCCAGGAGATTCTCATTTAATTCTGAGATATGTATTCTCATTTTACAGGAATAAAATTGGGAGATGTTAAGTCACTTACCTGAATTAACACCACAAATAATTGGCAGAACTAGGATTCAGTTCACATCTAACACTAAAATGGGATTTTAAGTGGAATTTGAATCTTAAGTGGAATTTTGAATTAGTTTGTGAGAGCACAGGATTGTGGATAATTGAATTAAACTATGGAACTAATAAAGGATAATTGTTGTAAATGGTAAAATTAGGCTTTGAAAAATCTGTCTTTAATTCTCCATTTTCTTTTTATTTTTGGTTATCAGCAGGTAAAGACCCACTCTAGACTCTGTAGAATGCTTCCTTATGATGGATTTTGTTATAGTGATTGTATTTTCTTGAATACTTAAGTAAATTTTTCAAAGTGAAAGAAGACCCACTTTTCTCTCAATTATAATTTGGGGGTAATGAGGACAAAAATTAAGACAGGGATATAAAAATTAATAATTGTTTATTCAGCATTTTACTAACAAACACAGTTGGGCAATCTAAAAGGAAGCTTGCTTTTATTTTTAATTTATTGATTTTAGAAAGAAAGAGGAAGGGAGAGAGAAACATTAACTTGTTCCACTTATGCATTCATCGGTTGACTGTTGTATGTGCACTGATTGGAGATTGAACCCACAACCTTGGTGTATCAAGACACTAACCAATAGAGCTACCCAGCTGGGGCCTAAAAAGTCAGCTTTTTTGATTTCTGTTATCTCCTCCTCCCTTTCTTTAGACTTTAATCCTTTCCTTCAGTATCATCACATTTTGAGGTTATTTACTACTTTTCGGTTAAGGTGTATTGTGGGAAACAATAGAGAACTTTGAAAGCATTGATGATTTGCAAGATCTGATTATTCTTGTTTTACTTAGAAATCTCAGGAGAAATGGAAGTCTGTAGTTATACTTTGTGGCTTCTTGTAAATTGGTCTGATGCCTCTGATTTTCATTTTAACATCAGTTGCTGTGCATAATGGACAAAATATTTTACCATTGCTAAAATTGTACATTTAATCCTCTACCACAAATACCAGGGTGATAATGATTTTTTTTTTTTAGGGCACAGGAAAAAATTTCCAATTATGCATATTTATAATTAATTTTAAGTTTGGGGTAAAACTATCTTCAGATAAATATAAAATAGTACTTTAGTCCCAAGTATTAAAAAAGATTAAATAAACCAGTACTAATTAGAATGTTTAATTTTAAAATGCATAGTTTTTTATCCTGTGTTCTTATTGAAAGAAAATTAATTAGAGGTTATGAAATTTTTTAAATTTAGGTTTTAAGTTGTATGTTTTTCTGGACTGAAACTGTTTAGTACAGAAAAAGAGTAAAAGTAGTATCTTCTATTAGAGTAGGTAGAGGAAGCAAGTTTAAGAAGATAGGTGCAAAAGTAAAATTTTACTCTTGAAATCTTTTGAGGCTTTCTTTCATAAGAGTAGATACGCTGTGTTACTTAGGTAAAAATATGAAATTCTAACCAAAAAAAAACCACCACATAATATACCAAGTCTTTACCTTTTTAAAATTTGAGAAAAGAGGAGGATAATCTACGAGGAATATAGACCTGTAAGATACTAGTATAGGTCAGAAAATATAAATAGAGAGCCATTTGCAGACAAGTACTTGTGAACATTAATGTGAATCCCACTGGAGGGTTTTCTGAATCACTGTTGACTTGAACACATTGAGAGATTGAAGTGATACTGTAGATAAGAAAGTACTTTGAGAAGTAAGGTAAAGTCTAAAATAAATAGATGTATGTAAATTTAAAATAAAAATCTATTTTGAAAGTAGGTCGTTGCCATTGAAGTAAACTAAGTAGAAAAACAAATTGAAGAAGGCAGTAGACGATACTAGTGAGGCATTTAGGCTTCAGTAATTTTTGTGGAAAAGGGAAGTTAATGACATGCTTAGAGCTTTCACATCTGGGTGTATAGTGTAGTATTTTGGTTAACCTAAACATTTAGAGTTGTTGTGTTTTGTTCAAATGAGAGCTTATGGCCTAAATGCCTTTTATTGACCCTGAATTTTCTGTTTACATGGATAGAACCCATGTAACCTAGAGGTATAGTATCAGTGTTCATTTACAAATGAATTGATTTATCACTTTGGAACTAACATACATGAAGTTGGCAAATATAAAATAAGTGTCTACTCTTTTTCTCTAAGCATTCCTATTCAACAAGCCATTGTACTATTGTTCATAGTGGTTTTATTTCATTAAAAACATTAAGGTGAAACATGTTAGTCTTTTTTTGTGTTTTAAATATTCTTAAAACTGGCTAATTAAGTGTAGAAAAACACAGACTCTTATTTTTACTAGAGCAGATAACCAAGCTAATGAAAGAGTGGGTTTCAAAAATTTTTATAGGTAATACTTTATAATAGGCTTTTTTTCTTGCTGATATAACTAACATTTATTTTCTGTTTATTTTTAAGACGAGCAAAAATCAAATTAAAGTAGATCTTGTAGATGAGAATTTTACAGAATTAAGAGGAGAAATAGCAGGACCTCCAGACACACCATATGAAGGCAAGTACTTTTTTCTGTATCAAAATATTGTGGGTATTAGAACTTGTCTGAACCATTAAATCAGAATAACCTGAAGCATCTATTATAAATTACATAGAAGGTTAACTTCATTTGGCTTAGGATATACAGCAGTTTTTAAATAATTAAAATAGATACTTATCTAGACTGATTTTTCTTAATGAATTTTAGCTAATTTTTTTCTTTTCCCAAAATAGATTTAGTAGAGCCAAGTTACAGGTTATATAGGTTAGAATTTAATAGTATAAAACATATCTGTTAAGCCTCTAACTTACATGGACTATATATACTTTCAGTTACCCTTCATATGGTATATATAACAAGTCTTGCCTTAAATTTCTGACTGATAAAAATATTGAATTTTTTTTTAAGTTCCTCTCCCCTGTTTGTCATTTAGCATTTCATTCACTCATATGTCTTCATATAGGCTGTGTATTTGAAATATTTAATTTTAAAAAAATTCAGAAAAGCTTTGAGTGATTGTTTTAAGACATAGAAAAGAAAGGAGGAAGCCTTGCTGAACTCAGCATTCACAAAACTAAGTCTCTAGCTACTTCAGACCATGGAATCGGGTGGTAAGATACAGAAAGAAGTTTTATAGCTTTTTATTTCCTCATTAGGCAATCTTTAGTAATACAAGTTTGGTTTAGGTAGCATAACAAAGGTTCTCACATATAATAGGCATTCAAATATTTGTTTAATAGAAATCATGTAACAATTTATATTAGTAGCATTTATTGAGGTTTTACTTATTAGAGCTGTACATGTGTTTTCTCATTCAATTCTTACAACATATTTTATGAGGTAAGTATAGTTGTCACTTTCATAGATTAACCTTAAACTCAGAGAAGTTAAGTAACTTATCTAAGGTCAAACATCTTAAGTGGCGTAGCTGGAATTTCAGTCTCAGCCTTTGACTTCAAAGCCTGTGTTTATCATTACTTTGTGCTTTTGAATGAATCAGGATTTACTGAATGGTAGATGTGATGGTTATACTTATTTTGAATGTGGTGGTTCTGTAATTCTATAATGAATAGTTACCTTAAACTTGCACAAGAATCCTATATTCTAGAATATGTTCCTGTTTTTATTCCAAATTTTAAAGACCCCAAAATGTCTTTAGTAATATTAAATAAAATGTTATTTTCTGTTTTATAGTTCATATGAGCCATTTTTAGCTATCATTTAGTTTTTTATGTTAGTTGTTGAGTGCCTCCTGTATTCCATTATGAAAGCTGTTCATTTAGTCCTTTTGACAGTCATTAGATGGACAATAGATTTTTTAGATATCTTATAAAAATCAGGTTCTTGTCTTAATAACAGGTATTATACATAATGATATACAGTTGGCCCTATTTATCTGCAGGTTCTGAACCTGTGGGTTCAATCAACCTTACATGAAAGTATTTTGAGAACAAATGTTACATTGTAATGTCTGCTGTGTAGTTAGATGTATGATGGTTGTGTCTGTACTGAAACGTACAGATTTTTTTTTGTCATTATTCCCTGAACAATCAATACAGTGTAACAACTATTTACCTAACATTTACATTGTATTAGGTATTATAAGTAATCTAGGGATGATTTAAAGCATAAGGGAGGATATATATATGTTATATTGCAAATACTATCCCATTTTATTTAAGGGACCCAAGCATCTGCAGATTCTGGTATCCATGGGGGTTGGAGGTAGGAGGTGTCTATGTCCTGGAACCAATCCCTTGTGGATATTGAGGGACAGCTGTACTAGCTTCTTCCTGAAAGCAGGCATTATTGTAAATACTTCCTGAATTATTTTTTAGGTTGTTTAGATGTATTTTAAAAGACAGTAGGGCAGAAGCATTATTATTTTGGAGCTCTTTCAGCAAATTGATACATATAAACAAGGTACCTCCTGAACTAAAATAAGCAGAATGTTTATTATCTTCTTGGCAGCCCTTAAGAGAGGGTGATATTTTTTTTTTCTTTAAGATTTATTTATTTACTTTTAGAGAGGGGGCAGGAGGGAGAGAGGGAGAGAAATATCAATGTGTGGTTGCCTCTTGAGCATCCCCTGCAGGGGACCTGGCCTGCAACCCAGGCATGTGCCCTGGCTGGTAATTGAACCAGCGACCATTTGGTTCTCAGGCCAGCATTCAATGCACTGAGCCACACCAGCCAGGGTAAAAAATAGGTAGATAATTTTAAAATTGGAACATATACACTATTTGTAAGATGATTAAGTTATACATGCTATATCTTTTGCTAATTAAAAACAAGTTTGGTGGGTTTTAAGTGCTTATTTCTACTGCTGCCACTGTATGAGGCATTAATGTCTGATAAGATTAGTTTTAATATGTTTGGGGGGGTATGTATTTGAGATGGATTAATTTACATTGTATTCTTTTTATCATAAAACTATTGAAGAGAAGCTACTTTTTTAAAAATGTAAACATGCATAAATATTTGATAATATTTGTTACAGGGCTCTTGCTAGTTTTCACATCTTTTTGTTTTTGTTTTTGTTTTTGTTTTTGTTTTTGTTTTTGTTTTTGTCTTTTTCCCCAAATCTCATTGAGAAGTAGAATACCCATGGAAAAATTATTTTATTGCACGTTACTTGATTCTCTTGTTTTCTGTCATAATTGCTTATTGAGAAAGGAACAATTTAATTCTTAATTCTTTTTCCTAAGAACTGTTTTGAGTTTATGAAATTGTTGATATTTTTAAAAATCTCATCCCTTTGTATTAAGCTAAAAATTATAAAATTTTAATTAAAAGCTATTATTCAAGAAATAAATGTTTTACAGGGAAAACTGTTATAATATAAATAATGTAGTCATAAAGCTCCCTTAGTTTTGTTGCTGTCATATATATCAAATAATGCTATGGTTGTTATATATTCAAAGTTACCAGATAGTAATTCAAGACAGGGCATATTAATAGCATATGGAGTAGAAATAGGATTGGGGGAACTCTAGGGTTCAGCACTATTTATATCAGGGTTCTCATACTACTCCTGATAGATTGTTCTTGAACATTCAAGAAGGAAGAACTTTATATGAAAGATTATAGAGACATTAATCTGAACTTAATCAGAAAAAATATGGTTCTTAGCTAGGAAAAAGAACCTACATATTTCTCAGACCAAATTTATTATGCCTATATTTGAAGCTAACATTTATAACTGAACCTAAAGAGTTACCTCTATATTCACAAAATTTCTTCAGGTACTTGTCTTTTATCTGTCTTATTTTTTGTTCCTTTTGTTTTCACTACTTTTCTTTATATTTCACTGCTCACATACATGCTGTGATTCGGGCATCTAGTTCAAATCATGCATCAGTCACTTCGGGATTCTATTAAAAAGAATTAGGAAGAAAAGAAGAAGTGGAAACAAAAATGGCCTGAAGAAAGTGGTACCCAGCAAACTGCTCTTTGTTTTTCTCCCAGATCCACATTCATCTATCTCTTGCTAACATTGGAAGAGGAGGATTGAGAGAATTCAGGATTTACTGAGAGTTGAATGTATGGAATTTTGAAGTGAATATTGCTCCTAGCACATAGTTTTTATTTTGTTTTTATTATGGAAATTTTCAGATATATGTAGAAGGCAAATAGTATAATGAATTTTCCATGTAATCATTGGCCAGTTTGAAAGACAGTCACCTCACGACCAGTCTTTCATCTGATCATTCCTTCATTATTTTGATGCAAGTCCCAGGCATAGTTTCATATGTAAATATTTTGGTAGCACAGTTTTATTTGGTTATATTTTAGAATAGTGAATATTCTCTGTTAATGACTCATTACAATTTTAGAATTGGAAGTTTCCTTAGAGTTAAGATTCAAATCCAGCTTCTCATCCAGTGCAAGCCTTACCCCTTTAGACCTTCTTGAGAGGCAGTTATCCTTCCAGGTATAGGAAGCTAGATAAACTTATAAAATATATGAATATAGCTGCTAGTTCCTCAAAATAACTTCAAAACAGAATGTTGCCCTCTATTTATACATTTTGGTTAAAACAGTCTCTTTTTTTTTTTTTTAAGATTTTTTATTTATTTATCTTTAGAGGGGAAGGGAAGGAGAGGAAGAGAAATATCAATGTATGGTTGCCTCTCATGCGTCAGCTGCTGGGAACTGGCCTACAACCCAGGCATGTGCCCAGACTGGGAATTGAACCGAGATCTTTTGGTTCGCAGACCCGCGGTCAATCCACTTAGCTACACCAGCCAGGACAGAACAATCTCTTCATAAAGTTTTGTATTTTGTATACCTGTTAGATGCAGAGAATAGTTTTGTCTTTAGACCAGAGTTGTTAGGTTTGCCTTTTAAAATTTTAACAAGTAGTGTTGGCATTTAATTTAGGGAACAAGTTAAAAGTTTGGGACATTTTTGCACTTGAGAGAACCTGCTAGAAGTAGATTTTTTTTTTTAGCTTAGAGCATAATCTGTATATCTTCTTCCTTTGCACCATCTATGCCTTTATACCTCTCTGCTTTCTTTTTGTTTTTCTTTTTTTTCCTTTGCTTTTTTCCCTCCTGTTACTTAGCAACTCTTGTCAGTGTGGTGTAGAGGAAATAACAGGAGACAGAATCTATACTACTTAATTATCCCAATGAAATCTTTGGCATTGGACTGTCTAGATTTAATGTATTTATCTATGTCTAGTCCTGTTACTCACTCATAAGCTAATACAGTTGTATAAAATGGGTATTCTGTATGCTTTAAGTAATCTTTAAATGAAAAGTTAGTGCTTCTGATTATTCCTGTTTAGGTTGCAACTTTAAAGTGAGTTTGTTGTAATTGTACATAAAGTACATGTTTTGAAAACTTTTATCACTATATTTGGCTTTACATATTTGATTTGAGATGAGCAGCATTCTTAACTTTCTGTTTTTCCCTTTTTTAGGAGGAAGATACCAACTAGAGATAAAAATACCAGAAACATATCCATTTAATCCCCCTAAGGTATTGTAAGCCTATTTTCATGCATGAACTTCTGAAATACTTCTCTCGGTCCATTTAATTAATATGTGCTTTAGTGCCTATTAAAATTACAGTGTTTTGAGGTGTTGATATGTAATTTAGTGTGGACAGATTTCAGGTGAAGAAAAATGATTTGCTTCTAGAATTATGAAAAGCAAGCTTACTCGAGGCAGCTAATTCTGGCTCTAGAGGGGAATAATAGGATGTGCATCTGACAGTGGTTTAAATTCTAAGTCTGGAAAAACTTGGAGTGTTCCTAGATGTAGAAAACTCTTACACAAATTCTTACTTTCCTCAAAGAAGTACATTTTTTAGGGAAGAGTGTATTCTGAATTTTTTCAACAATTATTTGAGTGCTACATGGCAATATACCAATAAACAAGATTTACATTGCTCTTGTTTTCATGGAACCCGAATTCTAGCAGGAAAAAAAAATAATGAACAAATAATTGCAACTGTGATACATGTTAAAAGAGGAAATAGAATGCTCTAGAATCGTATAACAAAGAGAACTAAAACTTATTTTTGACTAAACAGCTTTTATGTCTTTACTTTTGCTGTCCTCTTTAGTTTAGGCGTTTAATTTTATTACTTCCCAGTTTTGTCTATTATTTATCACCCTTTATCTTTGTTACAGCTGTTCTGTAAATCTTCCTAAAGTACCATTTCAATCATGTTTTTTTTTTCTTTCTTGTTAATAAAGTCTGAACTCCTTAGCTGAGCATTTAAACTTCCTATCACCTGACCTCAGTCTTCTTTTCCATCCTAATTTTTGCCATCCTCATCTACAATATGGGACTCATTTGTCAGCCTAGATTATTTGCTCTTTGTAGATGTTGCTTATTCTTTCACACTCTTCTATCATTTTCTCTTGAATCATTGTCTCTGTCATTTAAAATTCTACTTTTCATTTGAGGTCTATGTAAGTATCATGCCCTCTATTAAGCTGTGCCCATCAGATTGTCTCTCCTGCTCTCAGTAGCATATTATATCATTTATATAGTACCAAAACAAATACAGAATCAATTAATGTATTATTTGGGGCTGTATATCTTTCACTTGCTTTTATGCTCCTGAGTTGAAGGACCATGTCTATACCAAGAACAAGAACAGTCAACCAGAGTTTAAATCTTTCTTCTGCTATTTAACTGTGATTTTTAAGGAAGGTACCTGCTGTGTACCTCAGTTTCCTCATCTATAAAGTGCTGTCATAGGATTGTAAAGATTAAAGGAGTTAATCCATGTAAAGAACTATATTTAAATAATTCGTAGAAACATTTTTTCATGTTTTTAACACCTCTGAGATCAGGATGTATCTTTCAATGCATGGTATGTCATAATTTAATTGGCAAAATGTTTTTATTTTTCTTAAAGTGTACATAAAATAATTGTTTTTTGAATAATTGGTGATACCTGAGATTTAATGAAATAATAATACTTAGAACAGTGTCTGCATACAGTAAGCACTCAGAAATATTAGCTAGCTTTAATCAACGACTACCACCCTAAGTGGCCCTTTTTTAAGTCATCTGCTAATTATGTTCTGTAACATTATTTTAAGATACAGTAGCATTAACACTTAAATGTCCTCTGTAAATTGAATTCTTATACATTGCTTGTGGGAATGTATAATGTTGAAGGTACTTTGGGAAATGATTTGTTTGAAATGGCAAATGTAGAGTTAACCTTTTTTGCCTTACTAGTTCTACTTCTAGGTTTCTGTTCACTAGAAATACAAACAAATGTTCACAACAACTTGTACAAAAATGTTTGTACCATTACTGTTCATAATACCAAAAAGTGCAAGCAACCTAAATGTCCAACAACTGTGAATGGATAAATCAAATGTGGTATATCCGTATCATGGAATATTATTTGGTTATAAAAATGAATGAAGTACTGAGGTAGTACAAGGAAGATACAGCTTTGAAAGCAGAATGCTGAATGAAAGAAGCCATACATTGTATGATTTCATTTATATGAAATGGAAGAATGAAATTCATAGAGATAGAAATAAATTGGTTGTTTAATACTTGGGTGTGTAGGACTAGGGAGTGGCTGCTGACAGTGACGTGGTTTCTTTTTGGTGTGATGATAATGGTCAAAAATTAGATTGTAGTGATGGTTGCAAAACTCTGTGGATATACTAAAATCCATGAGGGTGTGCACTTAAATGGTCTCAAGTAAAAGTGTTTAATTGTGAACCTCTAAAGCCTTTACTGTAGCTTCAAAGTGATTGCATAGTCCTGGCTCTGTTTTAGGCACTATTTTAGGCATTATTTCATTTAATCTTTGAAATCATTGTTTTATTAGCTCTGAGGACCACTCCTATTCTTTAGTTCAAAGAGAAAAATAGACTCAATGTGAGAACTAAGGTCTGTCTGATGTTTTGCTACTAACTCCTGTTGTTCTGCAGGCCACTATTATTTCAGCCATTCTGTATTGAGGTAGCTTCAAGATTTAGAAGGATCTTCCTTTAGTCAACCTAAATTTGTTTCCCTCTGGCTTCATTCAGTTGTACAGTAAATGGAATTTAGTATTTTAAATACGGTAGTTATTCCATTTATGCCGTTAAGCTTTTGCAGTAAATGTTAATGAACATATGATAAATATGTTCTAGATATGTATATATTGATTTGAAATGTTTACTAATTGGTAAATATAATGGAAAGAATGGGGAATATTTATACATTTCATGCCAAATTGTATTTATATATGTTTAATATGGCAGCTCCTGTTTAATTTTAAGCTTTATGGGGTAAAAGTATTGAAGTTAGTTGGTTATATTCTCTTTTCACTATTGGGCAGCTAAAACTGCACAAAATTGAAAACTTACATTGATTTGTCTTAACTTGGTCTCAGAGTATTTTCTGTTTATTATTCTGCAATGAATTATTGACTTAAAGAGCAGGAGTTTTACTTCTAGATGGAGACTGTATATCTTTCAATCAGTTGAATATAGTTTGGAAGGAATTTGATTGCATACATATAGTCACCTATTTTTAGAGTAAATTGTAATAGGTATTATATTAAAGAAAAACCCATTAAATTAGGAAAACTGGAGCTCAATGATTTGTCCAGTTATGTATTGGAGATTGTGTTGTAAAATTTTCCTCTTTATCCTTGGTGTTATAAACATACTTTTCTATGTTTATGTTTTCTATGTCAAGTTGAATGTAAGTACCAGTGCTAATGACTTTTAATGAGTGTGTTCATCTGCTCATGCATGTTTAAAAAAAATAGCATTTCCTTTTGTACAGTAAGTTAAAGATGGTTTAATATTGTAATATTCTTGAGTTCCAAGTTTGGAACTGGAAATTCTCAATGGAAATATGCACTTACTTTTTACTGTGAAATAATTGCCAATGTCATCTATATGCCAATAACTAAGAATAGGCCCCTTTTATTTTGGTCAGGTAACACTGTGTGCCTAGTGTTAAGATTTTTGAGTGCTCCTCAAGTTAATGAATATTAAGAAGTTACCCAAGTGATGCTAGTATTAATTTCAATTGTGAAAGTAGAGAGTTGAGTTGTTGTCAGTAAATGTTTTGATAATTTAAACCATTCTGTATCGGTTTTGTAATCAAATTACTTAACTCTTATACTTCATCCCTTCCAACTTCCTTTGATTCTACATTTTTGTTGATGCAGGACAGGGATGGAATGTGAATTAGGTATGGAACAATAGGACATAATTCAGGAATACACGTGGGTACCACTAGTGATGTTAAGGCTTTAAGATAGAGAAAGAAGTGAAATAAGTAAGGAGAAAATTGATGATAAAGAATATAACAAAGAAGAGAGGAATAGGAGATAGAGTGATAGACCCCATAAGAACTACTTATAAGAGCTACATTTATTTATTATTTTTTATTGAATTTATTGGGGGAACATTGGTTAATAAAATTATATAGGTTTCAGGTGTATAATTCTATAATACATGCTCTGTGTATAGTATTGTGTGTTCAACCACCCCAAGTCTAAAGTTGCATTTTTACTGGTGGATAATGGAATATCCTCCTGAAAATCAAATTCCTTATTAGATCATCTGCTAAAGTTATTTATTCCTAATTGTGTAGTACAGAGTAAGAAATAGTTTAATAATTTTCTTGGCCTGCATGAATATGTGTATTTGTTTTCATGTGGTGTCCAGATAAAATCATGTATTGAAAACTTCTTTAAAAAGAAGGATACAGTTCACATAGCCTTAGATCACCTCCCTAAACCATAAATCTTTTGACATCATAAGTGATAATTTAAAATTCTGTTTTCCAATCCATTTGAAAATATTGAACCAACTTTTGCTCTAAAGTCACAAAAAGTTGTGTTTTCTGAGTTATTAAAATTCTGACAATTATTTTTGGAATTCAATGAATGGTAAAAATTAAGGTGTGAATAGTTATAGCTGTTACGAAGAAATGTTTGTTGTACATAAACTCTCTATTGCCTGTCTTACTTGACCTTTACTATATTTGCGAGGGACAATGTTTGGTCCAAAATAATGGGTTTGTCATAATGTTAATTGCATATTTATTCAATACGAAGTACTTTAGATATTTGTGATGCTCTAGTAAGCAGGGTAAATACTGGCTTTTCAGGAAAAACCACACCATTAAAAGATTATAGAAGTGTAATTAATACTGTGATGCAAGAAAGTACAGGGTGCTATGGGAACAGATCTGGAAAAAGTGATGTGGAAGCTGAAACTTGAAAGATAAGTTTAAGTTAGCCAGCAGAAAAGGGTGTTGAGGTGTGTTATTGAGAGAAGAAGCCTATATAAAGGCTTAAAGGCAAAAAAACCTTGATATCTTTTTTGTTTAATACGACTTTTTGAGCAAATGCATGGAATACGAGGTACAAGTGAGATTTGAGTGGTAGGTTAGGGTCAGTTTATGAATTGGATCTTACACAAAGGGAACGAGAAGTCATTAAAGGTCCTTACATCACAGTGGTGATGTGAATCATGTGTTTCAGGGGGCTTGCTTTGGTTTCAGTGTGGAGAGTGGGTTGGAGGGAGCAGAACTGAGGGCAATCAAGTCAACAGACTGTTTAGTAACTCAGGTGAAGAATGATAATCTCCTTTAACGAGATAGTGGTTCTGTGAATGGAGAGAAGTAGATATCTTTGAAATTATTGGGATTATTTTAAGAATAAAAGAGTCGAGACATGAAGTGCCCATTAGTCATTGGTGACTTAAAGTGCTTTTTCAAATGGCATATATGTTAGTGAGTGAGTAGGTGAGGACATAGAAATGGGTAGATAGACAAATCAAGTCACAAGGAAAGAAATGGAAGCTGTTTAGCATCTTTCCATAAACAGTTTAGATTTGGAGCATGTATTAATGAGTTAATTTTTGTGAAGTACTTAGAACATTGCTTGACTCACAGTAATTATTCTCATAAGTGTTAAAGGAATTTTGACTCAGATGACTGTCATATGTATCAGCTAAAATAATCCTCCCCCTCCTCCAAAAGCTCGTAGAAGGAACTGATGAACTAGATTTCATTCCATGGTTATCATGGTTAGAGTTAACATTTTCACTTTATTGGTTTATTATTCTTCCATGATAAGACAAATAGGTGACTAGAGACTCAGAATCTGAAATCAGATTGTATGAGTGCACTTTGCTGTTTTGCTAACTAGTTATTTTTTATCAATATCTTAAACTCTAAACCTCAGTGTCTCTTCAGTACATTCAAATATTTGTTGAATTATTTTTTAAAAAATCTTGAGAAATAAATTGCTACAGAAAAATTAGGAACAGTCTTAACAGCCACTTCTTGTGCTTCCATGTACTATGGATTTTGCTCACTTTTTCCTTCAAACTATTCTATACCCTACTTCACACTTAAAAGTTTCATTTACTATCTATGAACACCTAGTAATTGTTGAGTTGCTTGAAAGGCTGAGCATTTATTAAAAGGTTTAAAAAGAGCGTGTGTCAGTGACAACATTTGGCTTACTACTTAATGCTTTGTCTTCTACACCACTCCCTTCACTTAGGCAAAATGATGTAAGTATGGATGCTTTTTTTAAAATCTGAGGACTTCTTACTCATAGTTCTATTTAAACTATATGCGTTTTTTCTGTTACTTAAAAACTCAAGTGTGCTTTATATTTCTAGGTCCGGTTTATCACTAAAATATGGCATCCTAATATTAGTTCCGTCACAGGGGCTATTTGTTTGGATATCCTGAAAGATCAATGGTAAGAGATTTTCAGTTTACCTTCTCCCATATGAATTCTAAGATTATATTTAGAGTGTTAAATGTGTAACTGCCTCAAAGCATAAGCATATAATATGAATAACTATATTCATATTATAGTTTCTCTTATTTGGGAAATAATTTTAAAACATATGTACATAATTGAAAATGTGTTACAATTGAGATCACAGTCTGTATTTAAATACAGGCTTATTAAGTCTATTTCATATGCTAGCTTTATCTCTTGAAAAGTCTTGGACTTCATTATTTTGGTAAAGTTAATTCTTTATTATCTCAAGAAGGTATTTGTGAAAGACTAAAAATAAATATTGAAATAATCAGCACTGACTTGGGTAGAATGTGAAAAGTGTTAATTGAGCAGAGTTTAAGTTTTCAGATTTCAAGGAGTACTTTTGTAGGTGATATCTTCACTTGCACTATAATTTATAGTGCTTTCACATATTTTTGTGTGATTTGATCCTAATATAGTGTTTTAAGAGTTCTTACTCTGGAGCCATTATGTTTAAAATGGACCCATTACTTTCAAATCCTGGCTCTGCCAAGTTCACTGAGCTGTGTAGTGTGGAGCACATTATTAAGCTTTGTACCTTGGTTTCCTCATCTGAAAAAAAATGGGATTAATACCTACTTCATAGGGCTGTTGATAGGATTAAATGAATTGTTCTATATGATTCTCTTAGACGAGAATCTGGTATATTCTGAAACTTGGATGGAAAGATCAAGACAAAGAGGTATAAAAAGACTTGGAGTGGGAGAAAACGGTAGTAAGTTATGTATTTGATTTGTTAAAGAAGGAAAAGGGTGGAACCTGAATAAGGTGAAACAGGAATGACAACATTCAGTGTTTGGGCAATTTGATTTATTTAGTAACTGGATAAACAGGCAAGAGTTGTTGGTTTGGTTTGGTTTGGTTTTCTTTTTCCATTCTAATAGCACATCCGAGTAAGACCTCTCCCTCAAATATCATCTCTTGGGATCTAGTATCCTGATCTGTATTGCATACTGTTAAACATTGAATGGTGTGGAATATATCTAACTTTATCTTCTGTCATTCATTTGATTTTTTACTTTTTTGCAACTTACTGAAATTGTTGGCCTCCATGTTTTTACCTGTAAAGTCATCTCCAAGGCCCGTAGCTCTATATCATTCAGTGATATTCATGAATATTTGCAGTGTTAGAGGCATGTTTCTTTATTCGCTTGATTTTCAGGTATCAGTTCTGTTCTCCCCTTCTTCTTGTTTCCACTCTCAGACTCGAACTAGTTCCTCCTTCATCTGGAGCTCTACACATCAGAATGCCTCAGGATTAAGTCCTGACCTCTCTCTCTCTCTCTCTCTCTCTCTTTTTAGTCAATACTCTCTTCCTGGGTGAGCTCATCTGATCTCTTAACTTCATGGTTTATATACTAGCAGCTCAAAAATGTTTCTTTCTTGAACTCTAGGCTCATGTTCTATTGCCTGTTTAAACATCCTTGAGGAATATAATGGGTATCTCAGACTTAAACATGTTGAAAACTGAACTGATATTCCCCTAACCAAAAACCTGCTTCACCCATCTAAGCTGTTGGCAACCACATCCTTACAGTTGCTTAGCCCAAACTTCATGATCCTTGGTTCTTCTTTTTCAGTTACTCTGTACCCTGTCTGCATATCCTATTGGTGAAACTTCAAAATCTCAGCAGTAACTTCACTGCTACAACCTTGGTCCAAGTCACATTACCTCTTGCCTGAATGATTACAGTAGCTGCCTCCTGCTTTTGACTTTTCCTTACTCGGTCTCTTCTCAGTGGCCAGAATGATAACCACCCTCCCCCTTAAAAACAAATAAAGCTCCAGACTAAAATCTTCCGCTGACTTTCCTTTTTGCTCAGAGTTAAGCCAGCAGAACCAGCACTCCTGATTATCTCTCTATAGATAGTTAAAAGATTATGATGTATACAATATATAGGGATAGAACTTGAATTTTTGTACCGAGACTTTTAATCAACTATTCTCATTTCTAAGACAAGTGAAATAGCTGACTTTAGTCTTGTTTGATATCTATATAATTGGAATATTAAAAGTCGTTAAAGACACATCAGATAAAATAAGTGAGATTGATGTCCATGGGTTTGTTCTCTCCTTTGCCCTCCCCCGCTTTATTGAGGTATAATCGGCATTTAATAGATATGCATGTTTAAGCGTGGATGTTTAGACCTCAGAACTGGGATTTTGTAACTATAGGATAGTTATCTTAGGAAAAATAAATTGAATAAACATTCAGTAATTTGGGACAGGAATGCTAGAAAACAATTTGGTCTTTTATTAATACTTATGCATGGCCCTGGCTGGTGTGGTTCAGTGGATTGAGTCTGGTCTGTGAACCAAAGGGTTGCTGGTTTGATTCCCAGTCAGGTCATATTGCCTGGGTTTCAAGCCAGGTCCCCAGTAGGGGTTGTGTGAGAGGAAACCACACATTGATGCTTCTCTCCCTCTCTCCTTCCCTTTCTCTCTCTCTCAAAATAAATCTTAAAAAAAACACTCATGGATGATGATTTAACTTTAATATATAATAACAACTTCTGTTAGTATGGTTTATTTTTAACTCTTAACCATAGCCTACTTAGAAACTATTTTATGATTTTTTTTCACCTATTATGACTAAAGATGTCTATTTACCTGGGGAAGAAAATGACAACATATAAAAATTGCTCTCAATGATACTGCCTTTTCAAAAGACATGAACAGGCATTAAGAGATTATTTAGATGTTCAATAAGTTATGCTTAGCATTGTTAGTCATCAGGGAAATGCAAATTAAAATCACAATTGGATACCACTACCCACTTATAAATGTTTCTCATGAATGGCTGGCATATATAGTTTAACTGCTCAACCATCAGTAGCTACCAAAGGTAAACTTATACCTTCTGTATGACCCAGGTGTTTCATTTCCACTACTATGTGTATATCTAAGAGAAATCCAAGGAAAATGAGTGCATATGTCCACCATGAGACTTGTACAAGAATATTTGTAGCAGATTTACTCACATTGGAAATAATCCAAATGTCAGTCAGCAAGAGAGTGTATATATAATGGCACATTGTACAGCAGAACACAACACACAGAGAAAAAAAACGTTGACACAATCAACATGGATGATTCTCAGAGATGCTGGGTGACAAAAGCCAGGCTCAAAGGGGTCTGCATTATGATTCTGTTTATATGAAATTCAAGATGAGCCAAAGATAACTTATGGTGAGAAATTAGGACATTGGCAGGGGTAGGTAAGTGTTGTGAATGGGAGGGGCACAAGTAATCTTTTTGGCTGGAAATGCTCTATATTTTGACCTAGGTGGGGTTGCCTAGGTCTATAAATATATACAAATTAATCCAGCTGTATAGCATTTTTACTTTGCTTATTATACCTTAAAAATTTTAAACAAAAAAGCTGCCATTCTCTTTAGCATTGTGTTTTGCATAAACATAGATGATTTATGATGGTCTTCTGGAAGATCCTTAACAGAAAAGTTAATTAACAATACAAACAATTCACATGCTTATTCTACATGGTGAAGTCCCTAAAGTCCCTACTCAGTCCATATGAATGAATGTTTAATTAGCCATATTAACTACTTATTGCTTTGAGATCTGAACAAAACTAATTAGAGGAAGATAGGTTTATGTGGTACTCACTTATTCATATCATCCACTGATTAATTAAAATGAGCTAACACATTTTGAAACAATTTTATATATTGTTTGCCTTATTAGGACTTGTTTTTGATAGATTTAAGCCAGTATGACACATTGAATCCTAAAAATCTCAATGCAGTATGAATTAGTATTTGACGGGAATAACAATAAGTGGAAAAATATTTTCAGTTGTATACATTTTCACATTACTAAATTTAAATGCAAAACCTAATATAGAATAATCAAAAACCTACATTTTAATAAAATTGACATACAATATTAGTTTCAGGTGTACAACATAATGATTAGACATTTATATAACTTACAAAGTGATCACCCAGTAAGTCCAGCACCTATCAGGCACTGTACACATTTATTATAATATTGTTTACTACATACCCTATGTTGTACTTTACATCCCCACAAATGTACTCATTTGTTTATACCATTAAAGATATTAATAGTGTTTACAGTGTTTAGGAAGCCAAAAGGGTAGGTTTCACTTTGATACTAGTTTTATTACCACTAATTATTTATTTTGTTATTTTTAAGATTTTATTTACTTTTAGAAAGAGGGGAAGCGGGGGGGAGAAACATGAAGGAGTGAGAGACACATCAGTTGGCTGCCTCCCGTATGCCCCCAACCGGGAATCGAACCAGTGAGCGTTCAGTTCACAGGTCAGAGCTCAGTCCACTGAGCCACACCAGCCAGGGCATAGCTTTATTACCACTAATTATTTAAACAATGTCATCATTTACTATTAATTTTGTTTTCGGATATCTTTATTCAGCTAATTTTTAATGGTTTATATACACCTCCCCAATATGTTATTATTTTCAAGCATATAAAAAAGTTAAAAAATTTTCTCACTGAGATTGTTATAAATTCAGTCTAAAGTTATAGGTCCAGATTTTTTTTCCCTCTTTAAGGGCAAACATTCCCTTTTAACATGTTTTACTTTAAGTCCTTAGTTTCTGATTCTTGAAGTGATAACTCCAGAGGGTCTATAATAGTTTGTGAGTATCTTCCCAATAAAGACACTGCAAGTAAAGGAAGTATAAAGTATCTCTAATAAAAACGTATGATCCCTGGCTGGGTAGCTCAGTTAGTTAGAGTATTGTCCTGATATGCCAAGCTTACAGGTTCAATCTCCAGTCAGGGCATGTATAAGAATCAACCAATAAATGCATAAATAATTGGAGCAGTGAATGGATATCTCTTCCCCCTGTGGGGAATCAATAAATAACCCTGGCCAGTGTGGCTCAGTGGTTGAGTGCTGGCCTGCAAATGGAAGGGTCACCAGTTCAATTCCTGGTCTAGGGCATATGCCTGGGTTGTGGGCTGGCTCCCCAATGGGGGTTGTGCAAGTGGCAGGTTTCTTTCTTCTTTCTCCCTCCCTTCCCTCTCTAAAAAATAAATCAATTAATTAAAACAATCAATAAATAAAACAAATAATAACTTATGGATTGCTAAGGGAAGAGTTTATCACTTTAAGTATTTTTAAATAGCATTGTAATCTTAACTGTTTTAAAGTATACAGTTGGGTAATAAGCATATTCACATTGTTGTGCAACTGGCCTCCAGAACTGCACCGCTCCCTTTTAAATGGGATTTTTTTTTTCTTTAGTAGTTTTAGATTTACAGCAAAACTGAGAGAAAGGTACAGAGATTTCCCATATACTCTCTGCCCCCACACATGCATAGTCTACCCTATTATAAGCATCCTCAACAAGAGGATGGTATGTTTATTATAGTTGATGAACCTACATTGACACATCCCTGTTACCCAAAATCCATTGTTTATATTATGGTTCACTCATGGTGTGCATTCTTTGAACAAATTTATAATAATGTGTCCGTTGTGATATACAGAGTATTAGAAATTTAATTTGTTATGTTTTAAGACAAGATACATAGTGATTATAGAATTCAGTGCAGTATCGGTCTTTTTTCTGATATCAGCTAGTTACATGAATGCTACTGAGATGTTCTTTAGTATTGTATTATTTTTAATTTGTCTTAGAATCTGGAGGTACTGAAGAAGATACTCATTATCAATCCCAATTTTCTTAGAGCTATCAACAATTAATCACTGTTTTATACAGAGAGTAAAATATCGTTGAGAGAACCAAAACCAAGGAAAGAAATGAAATACTATTTTATGGGGTATCTTGGATCTTAGAGCTCAAATTGACTCGAGCAAAAAGGTGTATGTCTAAAACATAAAACATACCTGACCAGTGTGGATCAGTTGGTTGGGTGTTGTTTTGCAAAATGAAAGAATGACAGTTGGATTCCCAGTAAGGTCACTTACCTAGGTTGTAGGTTGGGTCCCTGATGTGGGCATGTGGGAGAGGCAACACATTGATTTTTTTTCTCTACTTCTCTTTCTCCTTCTGTCCCCCACCCCCCTCAAAATAGAAGATAAATTTTTTAAAATATTTGCTAAACATAAAAGGAATATACAAGGTCTGTCTGGGAAAAGCCCAGCCATTATTAATATGATGAGGATAGTTTGCACAACATCGATGTAACCTGACAGCCAAGGAGGGTGGACTGGAATGTGCATGTGTAAACAATGACGACATCGCTGTACTAGTCAGTGGGGGTGGTAGATGCCTTTGAGTGAGCATATGTGCTATGTGGCCATCATTCAAAATGACCCAGCCAGTAGAGCAACGAATCTGCATCAAATTTTATGCAAAGCTTGAACGTTCATGAAGGTGGGTGGGGTGGGGGAAAGTGGTGGCAAGGGAAAATGGAGACAACTATACTTGAAAAACAGTTACGAAACAAAACAAAACTTGAACATTCCTCCGGAAGCTATTCATATGATTCAGAAGGCTGTGGCTATGGGTAACTGGTGATTGGCAGCTTCATCATAACAATGCACCCACTCATGCATCACTTCTCATGCAGAGTTTTTTGGGTGAAGCATCAAATCACCCAGGTGATTCAGCACCCCCTACAACCCAGATTTGGTGCCTGTAGCTTCTGGCTTTTCCCAAAACTAAAATCACCTTTGAAAGGGAAGAGATATCAGACCATTGATGAGATCCAGGAAAATACTACAGAGCAGCTGATGCCGATTCCAACAAAGGATTTTGCAGTGTTTTGAATTGTGTGAGGTCCCAAGGTGCCTACTTTGAAGGGGACTGAGGTGTCATTGTCCTATGTACAATGTTTTTTGTATACTGTATCTTCTTAAATGTTTTTTTTTCCATGTTATCTCATATTCAAAAAAATCCAAGGAAAATTCAAGTTTCGGGCACTGCTTGAACGTGATGTTTCAAGAGTTTTTTAGGACACAGTCTCCCATTTCTCTGCTCTGTTCTCAGACTCCAAAGTGGTATGAAAAAAACTGCCAACACCACAAAGCCTTTGTCTTCACAATCCTCCTCAAACTTTTCAAAGTGAAAAACTTGGCAGAGTTTTTGCAAAACTGACTCTCTTTCCATTTAGCTTCCCATTCCCCCCTCTTCCAGCCCATTGCAACCACCATTCCATTCTTTCTGTGAATCATAGTATCTGTCTTTTTATCCTTGGCCTTATTTAAGACAGTGTCCTCAGGATTCATCCATGTTGTAGCATGTGACAGATTTTTCTTTCTTTTTAAGGCTAAATAATATTCCATGGTATGCATACACCACATTTTGTTCATTCATTGGTTGATAGAAACTTGAATTGCTTCCACATTTTGGCTATTGTGAATGATGCTGATTGTGAATATGAGTCCCTCTGCTTTTAATATTTTGGGTATATATCCAAAACTGCAGTTGCTTTGTTTGTTTGTTTGTTTGTTTGTTTGTTTGTTTTAATTGCCATACTATTTTTATTGCAATCCCACCAACAGTGTACAAGGATTCCAGTTATTCCAAATCTGGGTGTTCTTTTTTGTTTGTTTGGTTTTTTTAATAGTAGTCATCCTAATGAGTGTATCTCAGTTGGTTGGGTGTCATCGGATAAAGTTAAAGGTCGCCACCGGTTTGATTCCTGGTTAGGGCACATGCCTCAGTTGCAGGTTCAGTCCCTGGATGGGGTGCATTTGAGAAGCAACTGATTGATGTTTTCTCTCTCATCAGTGGTTGTCTCCCTCTCTCCCTCCTTTTCCCTTCTCTCTCTTAAAAAAAAAAAAAAAAGCTATTCTTAGTAAGACTCCCATGATCCCTGATCGTGTACCTCATATTTTGAGCTCTGTGTACAATCATTTCAAAATAATAAAGTTATCATAGAAAAAAAATAGGAAAAGTCATTCATTGTAAAGGAGAAAAAATGATCGGTGGATATGTAATTATAAATTCTGTTAATTGCATGATTAAGCTAAAACCTGGGTTACTTTTCATTCCAGTAGTTATTTTTTATTCAAAAGACATCTACTTTGCTTTTGTCATGTAAAGCATTCTTAACTTGATATTTTCCTGTTTTTAAATTTTAGGGCAGCAGCAATGACTCTCCGCACGGTATTATTGTCGTTGCAAGCACTGTTGGCAGCTGCAGAACCAGATGACCCTCAGGATGCAGTAGTAGCAAATCAGGTAAGATTTTCTTTTTTGCTTTTGAAAGACTTACTTATATTTAAATTTTAGTCTTTACTTTAGTGGTTTGCAGTGTTAGTATACTTCTGTTGGAGCATACTTCTATTGGAGCTAAATTTGGAATTGGTTTCCTTTCTTGATTTTTAGTGTACTTGCTTGATTGGATATATGCTAGATACATTTTCTAAAACCTGAAAAATTTCAAACTCCCGATCCTTAGTTAAATATCCAAGTCACAGACTTGGAATTCTTCTCTATGTATGTATCCTTTTCTCTTGTTGATGCCAGTTTCAACAAAGGATTTTGTAGAATGTTTTGAGCTGTGTGAGGTCCCAGGGTGCCTACTTCAAAATCCTTTGTTGGAATCAGCATCATCTGATTCTTTTTTAAAAAAACATTTTATTGATTATGCTATGCTATACTGTTGTCCCAGTTTTTCCTCCTTTGACTGCTCCACCTGGTACCCCCATTCTCTCCAGCACTACCCTCTTAGTTCAAGTCCATGGGTCCTGCATTTGAGTTCTTTGGCTACTCCATTTCCTATACTGTTCTTAACATCCCCTGTCTATTTTGTACCTACTAAGTTGTACTTATTAATCCCTGTACCTTTTCTCCCATTTTCCCCCTCCCAACTGATAACCCTCCAAATGATACCTGTATCCATGATTCTGTTTTTGTTCTTGTTTTGCTTAGTTTGTTTTTCAGATTCAGTTGTTGATAGTTGTGAATTTATTGCTCTTTTAACGTTCATAGTTTTCATCTTCTTTTTCTATAATTCTTTTAATTTTTCATATAATAATGGCTTAGTGATGATGAACTCCTTTAGTTTTACTTCGTCTGGGAAGCATTTTACCTGCCCTCCCTAAATGATAGCTTTCCTGGATAGAGTAATCCAGCTTGTAGGTCCTTGCTTTTCATCACTTTGAATACTTCTTGCCAATCTCTTTAGCATGCAGTTTCTTTTCAGAAAGCACCAGACAAGTCTTATGGGAACTCCTTTGTAGGTAACTATCTCCTTTTCTCTTACTGCTTTTAAGATTTTATCTTTATCTTCAGCCCCTGCTGGTGTGGCTCAGTGGATTGAGTGCTGGCCTGTGAACCAAAGGATCGCTGGTTCGATTCCCAGTAGTCAGGGCACATGCCTGGGTTCTAGACAGGGTCCCCAGTTGGGGGCACACAAGAGGCACTATACATTGATGTTTCTCTCCCTCCCTTTCTTCCTTCCCCTCTGCCCAAAAATAAACAAATAAAATCTTAAAAAAAAAAAAAAGATTTTCTTTCTGTCTTTAACCTTTGGCATTTTAATAATGGTGTATTTTAGTGTGGTCCTGTTTAGATCCATCTTGTTTGAGACTCTGTACTTCCTGGGCTTGTATGTGTATTTCCTTCACCAAATGAGGGAGGTTTTCTTTCATTATTTTTTGCAAATAAGTTTTCAGTTTTTTGCTCTTCTAATCCTTCTGGCACCACTATGATTCAGATGTTGGTAAGTTTGGAGATATCTTAGAGGCTGTAGCCTATCTTCGTTTTTTGGTTGGTTGGTTTGTTTGTTTGTTTTTATTTCCTGTTTATTCTTGCTGTTTTAATGCTTTTTTCTTCCTTACATTCCAAATTGTTGATTCTGTATCTCCTCCATGTTGGTTCCCTGTAGATGTTTCTTTAATTCACTTAGTGTAACCTTCATTTCTGCATGGATCTTTTTTATGCTTTTGAAGTACCCAGTGAGTTCTTTGAGCATCCTGATAACCAATGTTTCAAACTCTGCATCTGGTAGGTTGGCTATCTTCATTTTTAGTTCTTTCTCTGAAGTTTTGTTTTCTTTCATTTGGCCATATTTCTTTGTCTCCTCATTTTGTCAGCCTCCCTATGTTTCTCTCTGTGTATTAGGTAGAGTTGCTCTGACTCCCTATCTTTGCAGTGTGGCCTGTTATAAGATGTAGAAAAGCCCATCTGTAAGTTATGTGGCCTGGAGCCCTTAGTAATCACCAGGGCACGGCAACCCATGTCACTGCTCTGTGGCTGTGTTACGGAGGGCTCGGGGAGGGAAGTGTTGCTGCCTGGCCTCTGGAGTTTTCCCCAGGAGGAAACTGTCTCCTGGCACTCACCCTGATGCCAGTCACCTCAATTTCTCCTCATTTGCCACTGGTGCCCTTCCAGCTTTTGCTCTGGTGCTGAATCCCAGAGGGAGTGAAAGTCCTAAGTCCCTTGTAGGCCCTTTTAGAGAAAACTCCTAAGATCCCGGTTTCTTCTGCTGCCCCAGCCCCCACTGGTTTTTACAACCAGAAGTTATAAAGGCTTTTATCTCCCTGGTGCTAGAACCCTGGGCTGAATGATCTGGTCTGGGGCTGGGATCTTTTGCTTTCAGTATTGCGCCTGATTTTTTTTTATCCATCACATGTAGATGTGAGACTGCCCTTTCCACATCTCAGCACCACTCCACCATGCCCCTCTCTGCCTCTCTACCCCTCCGCCCCTCCTACCTGTCTGGATGGATGTAGCTCCTTTAAATTCTTGGTTGTTAGACTTACGTACAGCTTGATTTTCTGACTATTCTGAGTGGTATTTGCTTTGTAATCTGCAGTTGTAATCTGTATTTGCTTTGTTTTCTGCAGTTGTTTGCAGAGGCAAGACGTGTTTACCTATACCTCCGTCATGACCGGAAATCTTATTTATTTTTAGAGAGGGGAAAGGAAGGAGAAAGTGAGGGAGCGAAACATCAGTGTGTAAAAGAAAAAAGAAAAATGGCTCGGTTGCCTCCCACATGTCCCCAGCTAGGGGACCTGACCAGCAACCCAGGCATGTGCCCTGACCAGGAATCGAATCAGCTTTTTGATTTACAAGCCAGCACTCAACCCACTGAGCCACATCAGCCAGCATCTCTTGTTGATTCTATTCCCAGAATCTCTGTTATCATACTTCTTTGCCTCAGTACACGTTTTTTGAAATTTCTCATTTCTACTGTTATGATAGAGCTCCCCTTTTTCAGCCTCTTCCTTACCACATGTTCTGTATGGATACCAGTTAGCTTTATAAAGGGCAAATCTTATTTTACTTTGCTACTAAAAACTTACTAGCTCTACTGTTACCTACTTGGTAAGTCTAAATTCTTTAGTTTGCAAAGTTTTCCTTCATGATTTGAACTGTCTACAAATCCAGCCTACTTTCCTAAACTCTAATTATTCTTCAAACTCACATTTTTTCAGGATGGTGTTCATTTCTACATGTCATTTTAGCCAATCTGCCGTGTTTCTTCTACCTGAGGAAACTTTCTCTCTTAGCAAACTCCTCTATTCCCTTGAAAAGTTGTTCACTCTTTCTTCTATATTTATGTTAAAATGTTCTATTTGTCTCAGAGTGCTAAGAATTATGGTTTCACATGTTATATATATGTGCTGTTGATTCATTCTTGGTAATCAGGAGCTTAACTTGAGTCTTACCTTTGATTTCCTATTTAGTTCTGAGCCACAAATGTTGAGGTGGATCTCAACAGTCTTAAAATATTAAAGACGTACTAAACACTTGTAAAAGATATAAAGTGAATTGAACAGTTATTTTAAGTGCATACTTTGCTTTATTAAATAATAGAATATTTGAAAATAAATTTGCCTCTTCTCAATGTGCATATGGGAAGTTTTAGGGTAAGTTCATAATCATCTCAAAACATGTGCTGTAAGTTAGGACATGTGCTATAAGTAAGGGTTTTCTTAAATCACTGTATGCTGCTACAACTCTAGCAAAACAGTGAAGTCTAGTTGTGTATTCTAGCTTGAACTGTGGTTAATACAAAAATTTGGTCACATTTATTAATGTCCACATTATTTTAGAAACTGGTAATTCTGTTTGGTTGTGTAATGCTTGTCCTACACAGTGTTTAGAAACATCTCTAATTAAAAACAATTTCTAACATCTCACTTGACTTAGTATTTATTTTCTGTTTGTTAAAATTGGAGATCAGAGTTGATGAATATTATTTGTCTTTGTTTTTCTTTTGTTAACATTACTTAAGAATTATAGCTTCAGATTAAACGATCTTTCTTGAGTAATATAGTTTATGTGCAGTGGACAGTGAATCAGTAACATTTAAAATCTACATTAGTTTTATTTAGAAAAACCAGGTTATTAAGCAGTTAGAACTACTGAGCTACTATACCGAATATTACAACTCTGTTGTCATGTATGTCAATTTTTTTCCCTCATAGTACAAACAAAATCCTGAAATGTTCAAACAGACAGCTCGACTCTGGGCACATGTGTATGCTGGAGCACCAGTTTCTAGTCCAGAATACACCAAAAAAATAGAAAATCTATGTGCTATGGGCTTTGATAGGGTAAGTAATATAAAGGTATGCTGATTTTGCTATATTGATTGATTTGATTTTTTATGTTATTTATTTGAGATAGAGAGAAACATCGGTTTGTTGTTCCACTTATGCATTCATTGGCTGATATTTGTATGTACCCTAATGGGAGATCAAACCCACAGCTTTGGCATTTCGGGACAGTGCTCTAACCAACTGAGCTACCCAGCCAGGGCAACATATTATTGATTGATTTTAAATGATTGAGGTAAATTGTTGGCTGACAAAATTGGTTCAGAAATACTCTAAATTTGGTATTTATTTATTTTCTTTACTGGTTTATAGATAGAGAGGAGGAAGGGAGAGAAAGAAAAATATTGATTTGTTGTTCCACTTATTTATGCATTCATTGGTTGATTCTTGTATGTGCCTGACTGCGGATCAAATCTGCCCACAACCTTGGCTTATCAGGATGACGCTCTAACTAACTGAGCTACTGGTCCAGAACTCTAAATTTAGTTTTGATAGATAAGTTTTCTGTTATTAAAAATTGGTGATTTTTCTTTTCATCTTACTGACTCCAATCATTAGTTTTAGAAGCTTTTTTGCACTACAGATCAACAAAGATAACAAAAAGTGTGGTTCTCAGTATAAAGATAGTGAATGATTCAATATTTTTAAAATCTTTCCTTGAAGAAAAAACAAAAAGAAACGTTTCCTTGAGATTTGATTTTTTGCGGGGGGTCCCCTCTTTTTTCTCTACAGAATGCGGTAATAGTGGCCTTGTCTTCAAAATCATGGGATGTAGAGACTGCAACAGAATTGCTTCTGAGTAACTGAGGCATAGTGAGAGAGCTGCTGATATAGTCAAGCTTGCCCTTCTTGAGGAGCATCAACACCTGTTATTTTTAGGATTCTGCATAGATTTCTTTTAAACTGGCATTCTTGCCTAATGTTGTTATCTAGGCACCATTGGAGACTGAAAAAAAAATCCCTGCTCTGTAAATAAAGCTAATTAAACGTCTGTAAATTTAAAAAGGGGAAATACTTTAATTTTTTTTCTTACTTAATAGTGTAAAAATTCTTTGAGCTAAGCGAAACCATGGAAAAAACATGCTACTTTAGTGTTTAGCAGTGTACCAAGACTAGCAAGAGTTTGCTTCAGGATTTTGTTGAATAATTAAGATAATACTTTGAGTGTGTCAGGACCATTCAAATTGTTGGTGTTGCATCACAGCTACCTTAACTGTTTTTAACATGGATCCTCTGTGCCTGTGAATTTACTTGCATGCTTGTACTTGACTTCTTAGGATGGGTAGCTGAAAAGACCACCATTTTAAGCTTTTGAGAATTCTTAAGTATGAGATGTATCCAGAATTGAAGATGGTGACCTATTCAGAGCCTTTTTGTCCTAGTCAGCAATCTGGGACACCATATTTATTTTCCCCCTCTTACCACACACAGCTAATATGCTAATAGCAAATTCTTTGGGAAATGTACCAAGGGGCAGTATCCCTTGCTCCATTTTTAGGTCATCCTTGTGGAATGTTTTGTCACAATTCTTTACTCTTAAAAACGTTCCTATATTAAATAATAATGTAGAAATGGAGCTGCCAATTTTGTTTCTCTTGTAAAACCAGTAAATACTTGATGTTGCAGTATTCCCAAGATTTAATGAAAGAATCCAACTTAATTTTTCAAGTGAATTTCACATCTTTTGTTTGTAAGCTGGTGAACATTTCTTTGAGAACTTGAAAGGATGAAATCAACTGTTTTTAGTTTTTTGTGTTTTTTTTTTGCCTGATTTTGGCTTTATAGAGATTGCTTTTTCAGATACTTTAAAGTCATTCTTGCTTACATTTCCCCCTATTTACACACGAAAGCTGTGTTGGTGTTTTATTGTACATACTTCAGATGCACATAGGAATAGCAGTGTGTTATAAATCTAGCTTTCTTTATGATGTTTCTGATAATATGAAAATTGAAAACTTTACCTTCTCTTGTACATAGACTTTCTATTCCTATAAAAGTTACATTTCATTCTAAGTTCTAAAGTTTGAAAATCATTAGTTTTGCAGCTCAAACACTAATGTGACCATTTTGTGAAGGTAGAAATGGATTTATGCAGGCAATTCTATACATAGAAACACAGTGCTTATTAAATTTTCAGGACCAATGCAAATAATAAAAATGTAATAGAACCGGAATGAATTAAAGTAAGGCTGTATATTGAAAGTCCTATTATAAAAGGTTTTCTTTCTTCAAGTGTTATTTATCCTAAATTATAATTGTTAAGTGTTTGGAAAATAATTTTGAACCATAAATCTAGCATAATTTCATTTGACTTCTCAATAATCTTAGAAGCAATAAAAGAAACCATTGTTAAATATATGGTAATGTTAAAGATGTGATGGTTCTTCCAAAAACTTGTAAGGCTTTCCTAATCAATAGTAAACTCTTGTAGTTGATATTATTGCATACTAAACACAAGTTGCTATGTTTTTTTCTCTATATGTTTGCTTAAGCATAAATTTCTTTATACAATCAACCTCCTCTAATTGTTGTAGTTTAGTTACTTTCTAAAGATGCCAAAGGAAACAAGATTTTTCTTTATTTATTTAAATAACTAAAACCTTGTACTTTTCTTTATACTTTGAAGTAAGGTTGGAATTGTGTGAAAGTGTGGACAGTTTTGTTATACTGATTAGAATTAAATTTTTTTTTTAGTGGAGGGCAGCTTGGTAATAGTAATATTTGGATTATTTTAAATATCAAACACCTACCCAGTTTACTATTTGCCTATATTTTCAGGGTATATTTAATTGTTCTGTGGTTAGACAAAGGAGAAAACTCAGAGGTTATTAAATGTCAAGCATTACATACTTAGCTCTGGGAGGCAGCTAAACCTTGCCTTTGATTTTTATGCACATTAGCTCTATAGGGTATCTGTTCATCTAACTATAATGCAACATCCCAGTGCCCAGGAAATTAGTATGAGAAGTTCTCCGTAATGGATTTTTTCAGTTCAAAATTTATTTACCTCATTTTCATTTTCATTTAATGTGATAATCTCCCTTTCTGGAACATTTCCCACTGTCATCCTGTGTCATTTTCTTCCCACTTCTCTATAGGTAGGTTTACTTCCCTAAACATAGAAGTTAAGGCAATTCTTTTCCTTCTAGTCTTATATGTGTTTGGGAAAAGGACACAAAAGTACAGGTGTAGGAAAACAGGTACCCTGGTGAAAATTACTTCTACAGTTCTCAATTTTTTATAATTCTTCGGTTTTAAAGGCCTCAAAAATTATGGTAAAAAATACATTTAATGATATCCTTATTAGGGCAGGCAGATTTGCTAGAAGTCACTGATAACGCAATAGACTTTTAGTGTAATCAGGTCTATTTCATGCATATGTGCCTGACTTTTAAAACAACAAATAGGTAGTTGTATAGTATTTCAGTACAGATTACTGAATGAATAGCTATTTGTGACCCAAATAAACATACAGTAAGTAGTGTGTAAAATAGGAACTTTTACTAAATTAGATGCTCTGAGTTGGCTCCCACAAATGTTTGGAATTGTGACTAAGGTTTACTTAAACACATAATACATTCAAATATATATGTTTGAGTTCTGAGTATTTTGTTTTTGAGAATAATCTATGAAATGAAGACTGGTTTTTTGGGGGGGAAGTATTTCACATTTGTGATTGTTGGTGGCGCTTAAAACTATGCAAAATAATTTTTTAAAGTATCTATGAGAAAGAATTGGCAGTTAAAGTGGATATTGCTTATTTATATGCACTACAGAATGTAGCATATCATGTTACTGTTTAGGCTGCTTAATAAGTTTATCAATGTGAAAAGTAGATCTTGGCTCTTAAGTGTAAGCCTGATTTGAGCTTTTAAAACTGCAATAGGAGTAAGGTAATGTTTCCACATCTTGTATTTCCACAACAGAGGAAATAAAGCATTTTGTTGTTTCAGAGATTTAAGATGGGTTTGGGCAGGGAAGAGTTGGAGCCGGGTATACTTGTACATGTGTGGAGACAATGTTTGCATATAAAAAAGGAAGCCGTCTGTTTACAGTTAACTTTATTTCGTGGACTTTTACAAAATGATGTTATATTAATCACTTTTCTAGTTAAAGAAATTTCAATTCCAGGGTACAACCATTGATTTAAAAAATTTGCATTTCCATTTTTTCAGTACCACTTTAAAATTAATGCTTAATATCAGCTATTTACTATCACTGGGGAAGAAGGCAACTTGAAGTACTTACTGATAAATAGCCTTTTTCCCCAAATGCAACTTTTCTGCAGTGTCTACATATTATGTCACACGTTCTACTTGCACTGTTGCAGTATGGATCAAAAATCTTGTGGCACAGGGATAGGAGAATGTCAGTGTCTCCCTTGTCCTGTTCTGTTACGGCTTTATTGGACTGCTACTCTCATAAACCTTTGACCATCACCTAAATGTAAGTTGAGAATGTGCCACCTAGTGCTTGGTTATTTTAACCATGCTGCTATATATATATACAAATATATATATATATAATCAGGAGTGGTGCAGTTTATCAGTTTGATTCTAGAGGGTGAGTGGATACAAATCATTGCACTGTGCTGTTAACCGATCCTTGTGTGCTTGCTGTTACCTAATTTTTACAGGCATCATAATAAAAGCTAGACTATTTCTTCTGGGGGGAAAGATACTTATTTAATGTAATTTAAAGACTTTTCCAATAGAAAATGAAATACTATTGAAAATAATGTCTATTTTTTAGCTTTCAGCAATTGATGGTGCTTTGTTGTGGTGTCTGCTGGAAGTCTACTGCCATTATAGGGATTCTCATTAACCTCACCAAGAAAGAACCTTGCTTGTTAGCTTCTCTAGATCTCTATTCTAAACCATCTGTTAGTGATGATAAATTCTGTAGGAGGGTCTATCTTGAGCCGTTAACTTCCTGTATGGGGAAAATGGGTGGGTTACCAGAAAGACCATGAAGCAGGGTGGGCTGTGGGTGGAGGGTTGGGTATTTGTCTTGAGAATTAAAACTACGAAACACTTTTGTACACAACTGATTTTTTAAAAAATAAACACATTTTTAAAGATGTTGAATTTTTTTTCCCCCATTACTGGGAATTCTTAAAAATAAATGCATGCATGTTTCCCCCCAAAAAATGGTTTATATCTTCTTTCTGGGTACTCATCTGTGGACAAGCAGTTAAGCCTCCACATTACTTAAACCAGGGTAGTGGTTTCTTCTAGACTGGTTTCAGAGTGATGAGCATATGATGATATATGCAATAAATTATATTGGGTCTTTGAATTTAAAAATGGGTGGACATTTTAAAATTCTAATTAAAAGTATTTATTTGAAAATAGAACATTATTTGGCTAAGTTGTAATTTAAAAATAGAGTAATCCAGACTTTGTTGGTACTGAAAGTAATTTTTTTTTTAACTCTTTTCATATGTGCACACAGATCTTTCAGGAAAGGGTGTCTGTTTACAGTGGAAAGGACTGAATTATTTCAGAAACTCTTGGATTACCCCTGCCTCTACTAGCAGTGATAGTTAGAAGAGGTTATATTGTTCAGGATTTGTAAGAGTTTACATAGCAAAACTAATTGTTACTTTGTGTTTCTAGGGCATTCATAAGCAGCTTTCAGCAGTCCTATGAATTTTTCTAGCTTGGAAATGGAATTGCTTCTGACTGGAATACTAGTATGAATTGCTCTTTTCATGAGCAAGCTGGATCTTTACCTATTAAAAATCAAGTATAACAAATGGAATTCAAGTGAGCTCTCATGCCAGTTCCCACCAAAGGATGGCCAAATTTAAAGGATTGTAAACACTTGGTCGTGTTTTGATTTGATCATCAAAGAATTAAAGATTTTCCGTGAATAACATGAATAATAAAGCTTTTAGGAGTATCTCTTACAGTAATTTACTATCTATGCATGTGTTCATGTTGTAATGCTCATTTCACCCCATTTAATTTCAGTAAAACTACATTAAAGCACAACTTCATCGT